ATGTATCCGGGAGGCTAGATCCTGAAAGTATTTCGAACCTTATTGTGTCTGCAGGATTTCGGCATGCGCGCGCGACGCCGCGCGCGTGTGGACTTACTCATGGTCTGCGCAACGGATTCTTGACCATGAACGCTTTGTGGTAAACGGGTATGCGCGCATAGTGTTCATTTGGCAGTGACGAGGGGTAAAAGGGGTCCCCCTGGGACGGTATGGTTTCACATTCGACATGAAGGATGGGGCATCATCATATGTACATTGCACTATCCCAGGGGGGTTCAATAAAACTGGTTGAGATGCCGATTGCCTCACATCTTGTTAACAAGGAGAATCATCTTGTGGAATCTAGATTCCACAGACGCATTGGTTGCCAGGATAGCGAGGAAATGCAACTCTTTATCGATTGGGACAGGCGCCGCCACATATGGGCGGCTTTGAACCGCGCATGCACCACGATGCCCAAAGACGTCCGCTGCAATCAGACACCCAACCATCGAGCGCGCCGTTGCGTCTTGACGCGCGGATGCTGCACTGGCGCGCGCGGGGCAAGCTGACCAGGCACAATAGCAAGCGCCCAGTCCCCCGGACGGCCCATCTCACCTTGGCTGGCCCCGGGTACGGGTATCTTTCGGACCAATGAATCTAAGCAGAGACGGGCCCGCGACTGGGCGGCGACGGCGAGCACGGAGCCGCCAGACCGACGCCCAGGCCCAGACGACGAGGCGGCGACCGAGGCGGCGACGAGGCGGCCGGCGGGGCGACGGCGGGGGCGGCGACGGGGCGGCGACGGGGCGAGCACGGAGCCGTCAGACCGGGCCCAGTTCCTCAGAACAGGAGCAGGGACCCCTGAGCGCATTCACAGTTCGGGGAGCATGCCTGCCACTTCACGCGTGCACGCGCAGGCCGCGAGGGATGGAGAACGACGGTGAGGGCGCTGGAGAGGGAGCCGTTGGATCAGGGATCCAGGGCCTGGCCGCCTGGAAAAGCTCCAATCGTGGATCGGCCATGGAAATCTCCGCCGCCCGAATCACGCAAAGACCCCCCCGAGGTCCGAAGCCTCCTGGGCACATTCCGTGACCGATGCGCACAGGAAAAGAAAGAGAGAGGAGAAGGAGAGGAGGAGGAGAAGGAGGAGGAGAAGGAGGAGGAGGAGGAGGGAGGAGGAGGAGAGAGGAGGAGGAGGAGGAGGAGGAGGAGAAGGAGGAGGAGGAAGAGGAGGAGGAGGAGGAGGAGGAGGAGGGAGGAGGAGGAGGAGGAGGAGGAGAAGAAAGAGGAAGGAGGAGGAGGAGGGGAGGAGGGGGGAGGGGAAAGCACGCACGCACGCACCCACGTCCGGCCGTCGACCACGGCGCGCACAGCGCCACCCGAAGCGGCCAACCCCGGGCCGGCGGGAGCAGCGCGCGCACAAGGAGACTGCACGGCGAGCACACGGAGACTGCTCAGGCGAGGAGGGGAGCCACGACACGACTGGCTGCAACCACGGAGCATCAAGGATTGGAGGACTGGCGAGAAGCATCAGAGAGAGGGGGATAGAACAAGCAAACCGGGAGACAGAAGCGAACTCATATGACATACAGAAAAAGAAATTCATCTCCCCATATGTATATATATATATGTATGTGTATAGTTGTATGTATGTGTATGTATATATATATATATATATATATACATACAAGCAGGCGATCGAAATACACATATGTAGAGAGAGATGGATAATGCGAGAGAGGTGGGGAGAGAGAGAGAGAGACAGGAGGACAGACGGACATAGACAGCCAAAGGCACACATAGTCAAGAAGACAAACAGAAGACAGACAGGCAGGCAAGCAGACAGGCAGACAGAAAAAAACAGTGGAACATAATGGCACAAGACAAAGGAAATCATAATGGAATATGACCGGACAGGACTGCACAGGACTAGGAGCAAGATGGGACGAACAGGCAGACAGAAAAGAACCAGCGTAGCTCAGAGATCGGCATCAGAACCTGAAGCGAGCCTAAGTTAGGCATCGAATCAAGTAATTTGAAGCACCAGGGAGTTTCAAAAAGGCTGCCCCAGAACCTTACCTGGACCTCGAACAGGTCGCAATGTAGAATGCTCGAAGAAACTGGCTCGTGTCTACAGTGCGACATCTTCAACCAGATACCATCACAACAGAACATGCGGTCTGGGTGTGTTCTGATCCGAGGCAAGTCTAGCGAGGCCCAAGACTCAGACACCCGAAGAATGTGGCAGTGTGCCTATAGGCAAGTGTGTTCGCACAATGCTGACCGCAGGCTTGTGTCGTGACGACGTCAGCGTTGGTTTCTGACACCGCGCGGATCGTTCACCCTTGAACGCTCGCGGCTGTCCGACAGTGCGGATCTTTCGATTTAGCCCGATTCCGGGCCACAGACAGCGTTCAACATGGAACGCCCGCGCCCAGATCGCCGCCGCGTCAACGCGGCCTCAACCTATCATGCTGTCATCAGGACCCCCAACTGCTGACGTCAGGGATCTACTGACCCAGGTCAATCCAGAACTGGGTCAGCCAGGCTTCGCAGGATCTTGCAAGATCATTCAGGATCAAGATCAGGTGCTCTGGGTGACCCCCGTCTGCACTCATCCCCATCTCAAGGCCCCCGATGACGCAACCTACCGAGCACACCCTTGGGTCAATTCCTGACCCCAGACCCCAACCCAACCCTGAGTCCACAGCCCGACCTGGACAAAAATCACGGACAAGAGCACCGGGGGAACCGAGAGCGCAGCACATCGCCGCTGCACCAGCGGTGCCAGAAGAGACCTCGCCATCACTCGGACGTCCATTTCCCGTGCACGTCCGAGCGATGCCCAGGGACAAGTTTGACCTCTGGGAAAACGCCGCGCCGACGGTGCATCGGCGATTGCGGTGCGATCCAGGGATCCCATGTCCTGCGTCGACCTCTTCTACGGACAGGGGCGGGCGGACATCTTACTTCCGCCGGCTTCCGATGGGCGCCGCCTGCACGGGGGAGGGGCAGGGCGGGGCGGCCTTCTCTTTTCAAGATGGTGAAAAGTAAACACCATCACATAGACATATACTTTCGGAGGTCCGCGCGGATTTCTTGGATCTGCGCTAGACCCCCCCTCCGTGGTGCGCGGAGAGCGCCGGGGGCGGCGCCGGAGGCGACGCCAGGCGGGACCAGCGCAGATCCAAGAAATCCGCGCGGACCTCCGAAAGTGTATGTTTATACCGTTTCTTCGTCTTCGGTTCTCAGAAGGGAACTCCGGCGCGGCCTAACCGACCCCTAGCAAACCATTTCCTTCCGTGACGTCCTCCTCACCTTTCGAGCGCCCCTCGGGCCGCATACATACGTCTTGGGGCGAGGCGAGGGGGACGTCACAGAAGGGGATGGTTTGCCAGGGGTCGGTTGGCTCCATGGGCGTGCGTGGACGCCCGAAATTCCGCTGGCGAAGATCGGTGTGACATTGTTTTGTTTCCGGGGCGCCAAAATATACACCACCCACCACCTCCCTCACCCCCTCCCCCCAAGGAAAGAGGAAAGAAATAGCAGGGTAGAGGAGGGAGGAGGAATCGACGTGGTGTATATTCTTGGGGTCCGCATTTTCCGCCGTCGGGGATGCCTGTCCCGGGGCGGCTGGACAATTTGTACCCCTACGGTGGCACATCAGGGTATAAACCGTCCAGCCGCCCTTCGACAGGCGCCCCCAGTGACGGACAAGTTTATGTTACACCGTTCTTCGCCCGCTACGGTATCGGTACGGGCAAGACGGATACGATGCCCAACCAATGCTGCCCAATACCGACAGCGGCCGCTGATGGGCAGGCGGTCTTCTGTTTCAAACAGACGACGTCCGCGGCGGCGAGAACCGCGATCCCTGTTCGGAATGAGCAGGAACTGCTGTTGGGCATCCGACCCATTCCTTCCGTACCCATTTCGCTCGTGTCGACTGGGGAGGGTGGGGCGCCGATGGCCCATGCCTTCGGCGAGGCTCCTGGCAGGAGCATGAGCAGGAGGAGGAGGAAGAGGAGGAGGAGGAGGAGGAGGAGGAGGAGGAGGTCGAGGAGGGGTTGGCTGTTCGCCCCCATCGTCGCCTCCGAGACGCTTCCTTCCTGCCGGCCTCCGCCCGCCGACGGGGCCGCGGAGCGCCTCCTGGCTGGCGGCAGCGGGGGGGGGGCGACCTCCGCGGGGGCGAAGAGAAGCGGGCCCGGAAGAGGCCCTTTCGGGGCTCCTCTTTGGGGCCCCCGCTGGCTCCACAAGGGGCCCTATAGGGTGCCCCTTGGGGACACCCCCTTTCTCGCCATCGCTCGGACGTCCATTCCCTGTTTTTGTTCGGCTTCGTGCGTGGCTTTCTCGCCAAATGATCAAGGATGCTCCTCGATTGTCCTCGCCGAAGGAAAAATGCACACGTCCGAGCGATGCCAAGCTTTAGGTCAGCCCCTCTTGTCGTGGATGCCATGCCAATGGACACTCTAGCAATCCTGCCATTGAACTAAACATGTGTTCAACCTGTGTAAACGTGTTCTACAAACGTTTCAAACATGTGTCTTGCACAGAAAGCGTTCTCGAAACACGTCCTGGGCATCTGGACATTGTGTGGCAGCACGCTTCCTCTCCATTCACCGACCTCCACAACCCTACGGCAGGTTTGCGCGGCGTCGGCGCGCGCAGAGGTTTTTGACACCGCGTCGATCGTTCCACCTTGAATCGATCGCGGCCCCGATCGTTCAAGGTTGAATTCCGTCGGGTCCAGTGGCGTTACAGTGTCCATCGGTGCTTCCGCGTGGCAGAATTCAACCATGAACGCCTTCGCCGGCGTCGTCGGCGCGCCAACGCCGCATGAACCTACCGTATCGTCGCCACCCGCCCGACCAGGCGCCTGCCTCCGCCAGGCCCTCCTGAGGCCGACGAGGGGCCGCCCCCTCGGCCCCCCCGCGAGAGGCGGGAGGCCCCCCCCCCCCTCCCCGCGCCGACCTGCTCGGGAGGCCCGGAGGCAGCGGCCGGCCGCCGCACTTGGAGTCCTCGCTCTTGTCGAGCATGTCGTCGGCCTCCCCTCCCTGAACGGGCGAAAAACGGTATAACATAGACGTTTTCGCTGTCGGGGGCGCCTGTCCCTGGGCGGCTGGAGAGTTTATACTCCTACGGTGGCACCGTGGGGGTATAAACTTTCCAGCCGCCCAGGGACAGGCGCCCCCGACAGCGAAAACATTTATGTCTCCCGCGTGCGCCCGACGATCAAACAATGAAGGGGCCCCAGGACACACACACACACAAATAAGTACACACAAGTAAAACGATTCCCCCTATGTTCCCATATTTTCTGGGGTTTTGTCTTCCCCCCCGCTTCCCATATTTTCCCATATTTTCTGGGGAATCGACGATGAATTGTGTCTGTGTGTTTCTTTCCCTCCTGAGATAAACAAGCGCGTGCCACGACTCGCAGAAGACCTGGTCGCAAACGGCCCGGGGCCGCCGCGGGGGGCTCACGATGCACGACCTCGAGGCAAGGACGTGTCTGTCGGACGTGTGCGAGCAGGCACTCTGCGAGCAGTGGAACACGCTCGGTGAGACAAGAAGGGGCGGGGGTGAGGATAAGGAGAGACCAGGGAAGGAAGCCAGGGGTAATCCGGACGGTGACAGAAGGAGAGGAGGGCGACAGGGAAAAACACAAGAGGAGAAATGGCCCTCGTGGTCGCCAAGGAAGGGCCGGGGGGGCGGTGAGGTTGAGCAGGTCGTGTAGGATGGGTAGCAGGGGGAGCAGAAAACGGAACGAGCGCTGACTTGGCTGCCCCCCGCAATGCAATACGTAGCCGCGGGCGGCTGAAGGTTAGAATCGGCGCCCACAGAAACTTGCAAGCCTTGCCACTTCGACTCGGAACGGGTGAGCGAACATGGTGCGACTGCCGCGGGCCTACTTGTGCAGAGAACACTTCTTCTCGTGCTCGCCCGCCGACAACACCTTCACTCTCACACCGTAGCCCAGCCGCATCATCGCGTCATGATCAAGCCTGCTGTGCCTGCCGTTCTCGGCACCCCACTGCCGCCGTTGCCGCGCCGCCAGGAGGAGCGCCGAACCAGGAACGGAGGGGCCCTCCTGCCTGCGGGGACCCTCGGCCACGAAGGGGTTCCCCGACCTAGAGCAAGGAACGGCCAGAACTAGGAGGAAAACAAACCTACCTCGCTTTTGACCACCCTCGCTTCCAAGAGATACCAAACGATGCCAAATTGCAGCCTGTACTGGTCAGGCCGCTTGACGAGGAGGCGCGTGGTATGGCTTGGTTTTGCCTGGAAGCGAAAGCGGGGGAGGTAATTCACGCTCTGAAGAACACCGAAACCCCTCCCGAGCCCAAGTGGTCCTTCTGCCGGCGTCTCGACCGCACGACGCCCTCGCGCCGCGCCCTCCGATCGCGAGAGCTCTCCGCGGCCTCGGGCGCCCAGAGCTCCCTTCCTGAAGGGGCCCTGGGACACACACAAATACCTACACACCAATTGAAGGATTCTCCATCCTTTCCCATAGTTTCTGGGTTTTTGTCTTCCCCCCCACTTCCCATTTTTTCCCATACATTTTCCTGGGGGCCGACGATGAATTATGCCTGTGTGCTCTTTCTCCTCATGACTTCCCGGCGGGCCACGGCGAGCAGAGGCCGCTGCGGCCCGGGTGCCGACCCGGGCCGCCGGGGGTAGGGAACACATCGCACCGGAAGATGTGTGTGTGTGTGCGAGTGTGTGGCAGTGTCTAGGTGTGTGTAAGTGTGTGTGAGTGCGTGTGGGTGTGTAAGCGTGTGCACGTGTGTGTGTGTGTGCTTGTTCGAGTGTGAGTGTGCACGTGTGTCTAAGTGTGTGTGCATTAAGTGTGTGTAAGTGTGTGTGTACGTGTGTGTAAATGTGTGTGTGGGTGGGTTTGAAAGTGTGTGTGTGTGTGTATGTGTACGTGTGTGCAAGTGTTTGTAAGTGTGTGTAAGTGTATGTGAGAATGTGTGTAGGTGTGTGTAAGTGTGTGTAAGTGTGTGCAGGTTTGTGTAAGTGTGTAGGTATGTGTGTAAGTGTGTGTGGCAGTGTGAGCGAGTGTGTGTAGTGTGTGCCGCTGTATGTGAAAATGTGTGCTAGCGTGTTTGTGTGTGCAAGTGTGTTTGTGTGTGAGCGCGTGTAAGTTTAAGTTTGTGTAGGTGTGTGTGTAAGTGTGTGTAACTGCGTGTGTAGGCGTGGCGTGCGAGCCGGTGAAAGGTTCAGTTTGTGTAGGTCTGTGTGTGTGCAAGTATGTGCTACTGCGTGTGCAAGTGTGTGTAAGGGTGCTTAAGTGTGTGTGTGTGTGTCAGTGCGTGTAGGTGTGTGTAAACGCGTCTAAATATTTGTAAGTGTGTGTGTAAGTGTGTGTGTGTGTGTGCGCGTGTGCGTGGGTGTGAATGTGCGTGTGTGCGCGTGTGTACCCTTAAGCAAGCCCTGTGCCCACAGGGCTTGGTTCGACTGGCCCGCGCGCGTCGTAGACTGTACGAATGCAGCCCCTGCGCTCTGTGCGTCTTCTCGTGTCCTGGCGCCAGCAGGAGTCCTTCTTCCGTCGTCTCGGCTAGTTTGCCATGCACGGCGGGGTGTACTGACACCAATGGCATTCCGAGCCTGGGGGCACACGCCTCACGCTGCGAGTGGAGTGTGCTGAGCTTCGGCGCCAGCGCCAACGTAATTTCATGTACACTGCGCATCCTGTTTGACCTGACCATCGGCAGGGCGGTTCGCACACTTTGTGTACACCTTCGGCTACTGCGCCATCGTGCCGAATCACCATCGCACCTCATGAATTGCCTCAGACCAAAGGTGTCTCATGACATCGTCAAATGTGTCGGAACATGTTTCGGTATGTGCCCGGGCAATCACTCGCTAACCCCGCATGTCCGTGACATGCCCAGCGCTCACTCACAACGAATAGATCAATGATCTCTACCTGATCAGCATAGCAAATTTGGCAGTCCGATCTGATAGATGCATATCCATCGCCGATGGCTACAGCAGTAGTCGGTAGTGCCTTCGCCCTCCTCTCCACTCGCTCATCCCCGACTCCGCCTCCCTGTCCATCTTCATCGACGACGTCGTGGACATGTTCATCATCTTCTTCGTCCGTGAAGTGGTCCGATCAGATGTACGTTGTGAAACAGGCATCGGCGTTCTGTTGCATCGGGCTGGGTTTCGGCTCCACTCGGAGCCGCGCGGCGTCGTTAGGTGTAGCACGGCCTTTCCGGATGGTCTTGATCAAGCATGTCCGAGCACAGCGAGCGCGTGTTTCAGCATAATTGTTCCCTCTCTTCTGCCTCTGTCATCCTTCCTATCTTGCTCCCGATCCCTTATTGGTGACCGGGTGGAGTTCGGAACGCTCCTCTATTGCGAAGCTCGCGGGCCATTAATGTGGTGTCCTCTCAAAGACGCGTCCGCCTCGCGTCGTAGTCGTCGCACGCCGCCGTCGTCTTGGTCGTCATGGTGGTGGTCGTCGTCGGCGTCGTCGCTGCTGCCGTCGTCGTCGCCGTTGTGATCAGATTCCGTCTTCTTCCTCCTGTACTACATGGGCCAACCGCCTGGAACCCTTGCTGCCTTCCAAAGTCAGGCTGCTGGCGAACTGCCTGCAGCTTGCGCGTTCCCTCCTGGCCGGCGCTGTGTTCTAGCTCTCGTTGCCTCTTCCGCTGTCCAGCCGCCGCGAATGCAGGCTGGCATCGAAGATCCGCCTGCCAGCGAAGTCCTGACAGCGAACGTGACCCGTTCTTTCCTCCTCCGCCTTCATTGCTTTCGGCCCTGCCTGCTTTTGTCTACTGGCCCGCGCCGCTCGCCAGACTGGCACTGCTGCTGGCTGCATTAGACTGACTCCTTGAAGATGCGAGACCCATGAATGATGCCCATTGCAGGGTTTCTGTTTCAGTGCCTGTCCATCCTTCCCCTCCCCTCTTTCCCCCTTCCCCGCCACTTTCGGAGGATAATTGCAAGATAGCCCAGGGCTTGGAATGTGGATGGCCACTGTGGGCGCAGGCTGCCGTCGAAGCCGCGGGCGACTCGATTCACGGTCGGCATTAGCGCGGACTACCTGCCGCTCGCACGCGCTCCATTCTCCTTGCTTTCTCGCTCTACACTGCCTCCCCCTGCGGCTGACCATCCGCCTGAAATCCAGGGAGACGCCGAAGACCAGCCTCCGGCAGCGCGCGTGCCCCCTCCCTCTTCGGTCTTTGGCACTCCTCGCCCTTGCTCACCGCTGGAGTGGCGTCGTCGGGCAAGGACTTTGGACTCCTTCTTGCCGCACCTTTGTAGTGCGCCGCGTCGTGCCCTACTCGCTGGCAGGCCAGCGGACGTCGGGCCTGGTCATCCCCGATGCACGCCATCGGCAGCGCTAACGAGACTACGTCGAGCTGGCGTTCCTGTCGTGCGGGACCACGTGCGCCAGCTCTGCGCCCCTGGTGGCGCACGCGGACGAGGCAGCGGGGTCTTCGCCGCGCGAGGCCCGCTGGCCCCCGCGTTGTGGAGCATGACGCCTTGCTTGCTTCGACGAGCCAGCTCAGGCGACCAGCGCAGGCGCAAGCGCCCAGAGGGGTCGCCCGACTCAGTCGGGCACCCCGGGGAGCTGCATTGTGCGCCGCACCGCCAGCGCCACGAACTCGGACACGCCTTGCACCTTCGAACCTAACAACGGTCTAATTATAAATTTACAAAACTCCAGAGCGTCTGCCGCATTGCAGCCATATGCCGGCGCGATTGCCAGCAGTACATGTCGGGCTAGATCCTTGTGTCCTGTCAAGACGCGCAGCTTGCCTGTGTGAGGGGAGCGCCAGTTGAATTCGGTTTGTGGCCGTTGGGCCTCATGAAGCAACCCCTGTGTCCATGGGGCTTAGTTCGACCGGTCAACGCGCGTCGTAGAGTGTACGTACGTGTGCAGCGCTTGCGCACTGTGCGTCCTCTCGTGTCCTGGAGTGCCGGTAGGTGCGGGCAGGAGCCGCTCTCTTGTCGCTTCGGTCGGTTTGCCGCGCCGCAAGGTGGATTGTAATGAAACCAGTGGCATTCCGAGCTGGGGGGCGCACGCTTCACGCTGCGAGTGGAGTGCGCTGCGCTTCCCCACAAGAGCCCATCGTACTTACATGCACGCTGCGCATCTGGGTCGACCTGCCCATCAGCAGCGCGGCTCCAGAACTTTGTGATCACCTTCGGCTACTGCACCACCGTACCCAATGACCATCGCACATGGTACATCGCAAAAGCCCAGGGGGGTCTCATGACATCATGAAGTGGGTGCGTGTGTGCGTGCGTGCGCGCGTGTGTGTGTGTGTGTGTGTGAGTGTGTGTGTGTGTGTGTGTGTGTGTGCGTGCGTGTGTGTGTGTGCGTGTGTAAGTGTGTGTGTGTGTGCGTGTGTGTGTGTGTGTGCGTGAGTGTGTGTGCGTGTGTGTGTGTGTGTGTGCGTGTGCCTGTGTGTGCGTGTGCGTATGTGTGTGTGCGTGTGTAAGTGTGTGTGCGTGCGTGTGTGTGTGTGTGTGTGCGTGTGTGCCTGTGTGCCAGTGTGCGTATACGTGTCAGTGTGCGTGTGTGTGTGTGTGCGTGTGGGTGACTGTAGGCGTGTGCGCGTGTGTGCGTGTGCGCGCGTGCGTGTGGGGGGGGGGTGAAAATGTGCGTGTGCGTGCGCGTGTGAGAGAGAGAGAGAGTATGTGTGTGCGTGTATGAGTGTGTGTGTGTGTGTGTTGAGCGGGGGTGGGCGGCGGGGCGGGGGTACGTACGTGGGTGCGTGTGTGCGTGTGTGCGTGCGTGTGCGTGTGTGCGTGTGTGAGTGTGCGTATGTGTGCGCGCGTGCGTCTGTGTGTGTGCGTGTGTACGTGTTTGGTGTGAGTGTGCGTGTGTGTGTGTGTGTGTGCCAGTGTGCGTGTGAGAGAGAGAGAGAGTTTGCGCTGTGTGTGTGGGTCTCTGTGTGTGTGCGCGTGTTTGTGCGTGTTTGTCTATGTGCTTTGGCGCTTTGGCGCCAAGGGGTGTCATCGCCTCGCCTGGCCAAGCGGAGCCTGCAGCGCTGCGGCGCACACAGGAGGCAGCCGTGCTGGAGGCTCCTCCCCTCCAGCACCCCAGGGCGCGGATCCAGGGCCCACCAGGGACCTCACCCGCCTCAGGCCCCTGAGAGCGCCAGGCAGGGTATTGCTCCACGGGGGGCACAGACACAGCCATGCCAGGCCACCCACTGCGGGAAAAGAGGTCCAGCACCCCAGGGCCGTTGGCAGACCCCCCCATAGGCCCGTCGGCCACGGACGCCCGCGCCAAGGGGTGCAACGATAAAAACAGAGCAACACTCACAGCACATGGCCTACCTACGGCTCAACGTCCACCAGGTGGGCAGCAGGGGCTTCCATGTCTTGGGGTCAAGGCCCAGACGGTTGCAATCCAGCCTCTTCCGCCTCTCACGGTGACCTCGGTCACGCGGGTCCAACCTGCCCAAGCACTCGCTCGCGATCGACCGTGCCGCTGAGCTGCAGAAACCCTGCCAGGCCCCTGGGCCGCAAACACCAAAACAACTGTGTGAATCCAGGTGGTCTCAGGGACTAAGTCGAGCCTCCGGGGGTTCTACGTCGTCAGAAAAGCGCAACGCTGGAGGTCCTTTCGCAAACGGACATGGCGTCCCTGCGCGGCTGTTAATGCAGGCTGCCAACGCCGCACACGGCGTGGAGAAAGCAGGGTGCTCGCGCGGGACCAAGCTCGCGGGCGGCCTGCGCGCTGGTGTCCGCGCAGTGGACCCCGTCTCTACGCCGCTCACCCCATTTCGTGTGCATCGCGCCGCCAAGCACGAGAACCGCGGCTCGCCTTTGCGCCCTCGCGCCGCGCTGGACAAGGGGAACTCTCTGGCCCAGACACCGAAACACGACCATCCTCGTGCCTGTGCGTGACCGGTCAGCAGCGGCTGCGACCGGCGAAGGTGCCTCGTCGATGACGAGGAAAGTGGTCCTCAGCAGGTTCGTCTGCCTGGTCTTTAGGAGGTCGATGAGCCTCGCGGAGCCGCAGAAACGGCGCCCCAAGGAATCGAAGGGGGTTTGTCTCGCCGTCCATCGACGGAACCCAGTGGAGATGTGCAGACACCCGCTTGCCGCGTGTGGGAAGTCGCGTGGGTCGATTGGCCGTCCCCCCTCCCGTTCTAGGACGAGGCAGGCTTGCAGGGGTGCATAAGCGTGCTGGGAGGCGCCCAAGTCAGAATTATGACGCGAGTAAGGCCACGGCCACGAGCGCACCCCAAGAAGTTCCGAAAGCCCCCCGCACCCACATAAACAAAGTATCCCAGTGCGACCCTACCTAGGAGTTGGAACCCCTAGGAAAGCAGCATTAGTAGTAACAGTAACGCTGAGCTAAAGCTAAGCTGAAGCTAAGCTAAAGCTAAGCTAAAGCTAAGCCACAGCTAAGCTAAAGCTAAGTTAAAGCTAAACTAAAGCTAAGCTAAAGCTAAGCTAAAGCTAAGCTAAAGCTAAGCTAAAGCTGAGCTAAAGCTGAGCTGAAGCTAAGCTAAAGCTAAGCTACAGCTAAGCTAAAGCTAAGCTAAAGCTAAGCTAAAGCTGAGCTGAAGCTAAGCTAAAGCTAAGCTACAGCTAAGCTACAGCTAAGCTACAGCTAAGCTAAAGCTAAACGCTAAGCGAACAGCTAAGCTACAGCTAAGCTAAAGCTAAGCTACAGCTAAGCTAAAGCTAAGCTTAAGCTAAGCTAAAGCTAAAGCTAAAGCTAAAACTCCCAGGGGACTGGGGGGAACCGCTCCCAGGGGACTGGGGGAACCGCCCGGGGCGTGTTCCACTGCCCGGCCCCTTTAAGCTAAGAGAGTAAGAACCCTTCTAGGCAGAGCCTAGGTAGGGAAAAACAGAATCTTCGCATTTCGACAAGCAAAAAAAAGGATGAGGACTATAGACACCCTTAGATACATCAGCGAAACTGATATTCGCCCACCCGAACCAAGTCCCTTCCTTATGAGCCCCTACACAACTGAGTTTCTACTTCGGGAAATGCCCCTCTGAAAGACGAGCGCTCCTGCAGGTCAGACGAGAGCCCGTTCTGGAAAAAGGCACCGTCCATATTTCTGGTGATATATGGACAGCGACAGCCGCCCGCAAACCATGCAGCGTCTGGTCATAAGAACCGAAGAGTCTTCAGCGAACGCCCTGGTTTGAAAACGAGCCGCCCAGCACCCGTGTAGCTGTTGCAAAAATCTGGGCTTCCCAGCAACATGATTTCGCAGCTTTCAAACAAACGTCACATTAAAACACAGATCCGCCCCCATTCCATGCAAAGGGTCGAACATATTACGGCGGATCCGATAGCAACTTCATGAAAACGACCCCCCTCCATCCGTGTAGCGGCCGGGAGCTGTTTTAAAAATGCGTTCGGCGCTAAAGGCGAGAACGCACATTGAAAACGACCTGTGCTCCATCCGTACAGCGCTTGGAAATGCCTGTCGCGGGCGGAATGTCTGGAGGTGGGCCTGGACGCCACGACGGATGACCATGTATATTTATCCCGCGCTTGAGCCGCCAACTCCATTCCACTGAAACGATTTGACGGCCAACTCCATTTGTTGAAGGGATTTTGTCGTCAACTACCATTTGACGAACCCCCATTGACGGCCTCCTTCCGAACTGACGAACCCCACGTGGCGGCCTCCTTCCGACTTGGCGAACGCCCTCGACGGCTCCCTCCCAAGTTGACGAACCCCATTAGCGAACCCCCTTGGCGGCCTCCCATTGGGGTGACGAACGAAGCCCGTGACGGCCCCCTCTCCGGATTCTTGAACCCCCTTGACGGCCCCCTCTCGCCTCCCCTTCCGTCTTGACGAACAAAGCGTCGGGGCTGAGCTGATGGTTAAAAAAGACCTCGGTCTTGACGAGCAAAATGTTGGGGCCGAGTGGATGGCTCCTCCCGCCTTGACGAACGAAGTGTTGGAGCTGAGTTGACGAATGCGTTCCCCTTTATGGGAACGTAGTTTTGGGACCGACTTGGCGACCACAGTCGTGACAAAGCGAGAACCAAAAGTTTAAACGGGCACCCCTCCATCGATCTAAATATTGGAAATTTAAAACGAATGCGTACGACGCCGAGGCGAGAACCACATATTGAAAACGCCTCCTTCTGCTTTACACATGGAACAATTGGAAACCATTTGGACGGATGTGCCCGGCGATAAAACGATAGACCAGCGCTTTATCGCCGCTTACGGCTATCGCCGATAACCATATTAGGTTATCGCCGATATCGAGCCAGCGTGGCCTCGGAGACGGACCCGCCCATTGGTGGCTAAGCCTCTGAGGATGCCCACTGCGCCGTTCAACTCGCTGAGGTTCTCCCACCTGCGCGCCATTTCTTCTCCTCCGCCCGCCTGGCCAAGGATCCCGATCTGGCCCATCCTGTCTTCGATGGCCTTCTCGCATTCTTTCGCCAGCCCCCCCTTAACTGTCGACCTCATCTGCTGCTCTTCCCAAGGGCAATGTCCTAGGTTGCTGCCGATCTCCGGAAGGTCGGCGTAGTTCGTTGCAGTTCATGTTGGGGGTGACGGCTAGCGCTGCAGGTGCCCAGCGTGGCAGGTCTCTGAATGCCGCCGCGACGAGATCTGACACCGGGCGAGGGACGGGTCGTTGAGCTCGGTGTCCGTGCACCCCTGGATATATGCGCAGAGCCCGTCGTAGTCCCCAGTCTCGTCTCCGGTCCTCAGGTAGTCCTGCACGATTTCGCACTCGAACGCGCCGCGCGACTCGACAAGACTCTGGGCAATGCCGAAAAGCATTTGCGTCGGCAACTTCAACAGAACACGGACATCATACCGTCTCGGGCACTGATGATGCATGGCCATCATCTCCGACGCAGGGTCGTTGAAGGTCGCGCCAGAACTCAAATTCTGGGCGATCGGCTGAGCGCGGCTCTTAAGTCCCAGGTAGTAGATCACACTGTCGGTAGGCCAGCGCCCGTTCCTTTCGACTTCGGATGGCTCGTCCTTCGTCACCTCCGCCTGCATCACCACGCCTTGCTTCATCTGCTGGATCCTCTCCTTCTCCACCTTCGTGGTGTAATCCAATGGCTCTTGGCATGCCGGTCGCAGGTCTGGTAGAGCTAAGAAGTCGTCCATGTTGACCCAGGCGCGGCAGTGATCTCCGGCGGGGTATCCCGAATCCAGAACACCCTGATAGACCACATCTTTACGGGAGCGATACTGCGGCCCCTGCACCTCGGGCGGCACCAGGTAGACGCACCCGAAGTTCTGACGAGGTGTGACATCGATCTTGTCGCTAGGGTCCCCCACCAGGTCGCCCACAGGGACGCGCAGTCCAGCTTTTTCGCTAAGTGCCCGACTTGCCGCGCACCTGGCAGCGCAATCGAAGTCCAGGTCTCGCTTGTGAGCAATGTCCAGATCGGCACGATCGACTTGTCCTCCTGGAGCGGCGACCGCATTCGAGTAACTCGCCCGGGAGCTCCGACGATGGACCAGAACGTTGACGTTGTTGCTGCCATCGGGAAACAGAACGTAGACACCGACGGTCCCGACGCACTTCGGCCTCGGGAGGAATGGCTCGTTCCCCTCGGGTGTCTCCTTGTCTGTCTCCTCGGCTGTCTACTGGGGCGTCTCCTGGACCGTGTGGTCAGCGAGGTAGACGTTGACGCGAGGACGCTGTACTCCTGTCGCAGGTCTCTCGGTTCCTCTCGCCGTTGGGGCCTCGCCCTCTGGCGACTCTGGAGTCGGCTCGGGCTCTTCTTGTCATTCCTCTTCCTTCTGCCTCTCTTCTGCTTTGGCCAGAGCATCGGCGATGACCTTCCTCTCGACGCAGGCCTCGCGGGGCGTCTCGTACAACCATAGGGCGTTGTCGACGTAGATGTGGTCACCTGACGACGCACCAGGGCGTCCACCACGGGGCCCCACGTCCTCCGCGATATCTTCTCCCTGTTCGTCGTCGCCCTCGTTCGAATCCGCGCCCTCGTTCTCGGCCTCCTCGAACTGCTCGGCCCGGCGCTTGGCCTTCCTGTTTTTCCTACGCCTCCAGCGCAAGTCCCGCTTTGCTTGGATAGCCCCCTCGGTCGTTGAGTCCGCCCACGACCTACGTTATTCTTTGTAGGTTCTCGGACTCCCCTCGGAATGCCCACTGCTTCTTCAAGGTCCGCCATCGTGCTGAAATGGCCTCTCTTGTCGTTCAAGGCGCGCTTGATCCTGCAGCGGCGATTCCACACCTGTATTTTGAAGTGCGGTTCCAAGACGCCCCGGTGTCGAAATCGAAGGAGGACTTCGATTTCGGCGGCGATTTGGGCGGCAATTTCGGCGGCGAGTTCGGCGGCAATTTCGGCGGCAATTTCGGCCGCAACTTCGGCGGTCCTGTCGACGGCCCTTTCGGCGGCCCTTTCGGCGGCAATTGTGGCGGCCATTTCGAGGGCTCTTTCGACGGCCCTTTCGGCGGCGTAGCTCTCGACAGCCGTCGACAATGGCTGCCCGGAGCTCTCGGCGCTCGGCGGCCCCGGCGGGCCCTCAGAGGGCCCTCTAAAGGCCTCGCCTGAAAGCGCATGCGAAGCGGCTCAAGCCACGCGCGACCGGCACGCGATAGCATGCGGAACGCGCAGACGCTTCGCATCATGCGTCAGCGCGCTGTAAAATGCGCCGGGAAACCACCGCGCGGCCGGGCGCGCCCACGCGTTGAAACCATAGGGAAAAGCTCAATTACGTTTGGAATGAGTTTCGGCGCGCGCCCTCTTCGTCTCCAAAGAAGGAGCCACTACGATAAATTCGGCAGTGCCATCTGAATAAAGAACTTATGTCATCCGCTCGTTGGCAAAATCATCTGGGGGTGGGGGGCCGACGGAGCCAGACGGATTAAAAGAGGGTCGCGGGGTTCCTGATGCACTCGGACATGCGCCCTGTGACCGCTGCAAACATCTTCTGCCCACGAATCCAAATGTCGCGCTCCTCCACGAACGTCTCGAAGGCGCCCCCGTCCACGATGTTCTCGCGCTCGGCCGCGCGCGTGACCAAGCGTCGG